ATTACAGCCGAGATGAAACTGAACAAAAAACATAAAACGAGAAAGAAGAATCAGGGGGGAGGAGGAGGAGGAGGAGGAGGAAAGAAGAGAATTCGAAGTACCGACGTACCGATGTTTCAAGTCCGGGATTAAATAGCAAGCGTGCGCGCGCGTACACGAACGCCGGCCGGTATATAATTTGCCGAATTTTAATTTGTTTGCATGCAATATTATAATCGAATCGGGTCGATTTCAAATAATTTAAACAGGATCACGTAATTAGCGCGTTCGCGGATCCTGTTTGCTTTCATGCGTCGTTCACCGCGCAACAGTTAATGAATCAACCTCGGGCACAGATACTTGTTTACCGGAAAACAATGGATTATTCTCTTACAAATTTTCATCGTTCAGTACTTCGTTCGATGTTAGACGAGGTTTAACGTTGGGGAACTTGAGGAATTAAAAATTATTCAGTTGCAATCAAGACTGTGTTCTCTTTGGTGTTGTACGTCTTTTTATATGTTGTACGCCTCTTTACTCTATGTATATACATTTTTTAGTTAAATCCTCGAATGTTGCAGATGGACGATTTTAAGTGTGACAGAGGCTCTGTTGACTTAACGAATATATTTCAAGAACATGCTTCTTCATTATATCGATACAAATATGTCTGACGCATCTACATGTATTTGTCGTTTGTAAAAAATGTCAATGTCCAGATTTTCTTTTATTTCTAATATTTAATACTTTACTGCAGGTAATAAAATTTCCAAGTTGCTTGCATATTTCGTGATACAGTCTATAGGTTCTTTTCTTGTATAAAAGTATAAAGTATCTTGTATAAAGTATCATTTAACATTTTCAGTTTTGAAGCAAATATAGCATTTGTTCTGAGACTTTTGAGCAAGCGTGTATATTCAAATGCAAAATTCTTCAAATACATACTCAAAATCAAAAATCGAATTGAATTTAATTTAGTCAAAAAAACAGGGGAAAAAGAACAAGAATTAATTCGCGAGCACATCGACAATATCACTAGGATTTTAATATAAAATTCAGTAAGAGAAATAACAATGCTCGAATGCTAAATATTGCTCAAGACATAGTAAGATGCGAAAACTCGTTATCGTCATACGACTGATGAAATTTCATAACAAACAAAATACACGATCGAACAGCTCTTACTGAAACATGTCTCGCATACATATCGATTGTATTATCACGTAATCATACTATATGTAATATCGTAATAAAACTTCTGATTTTTGTTAATAATGATGTTACACAACCTAATGATTTGCGCAGTCGTTCGATGTTTGTATTCCAACACTGTTGAATATTCTTAGAGCGTAATATTGTAAGTAAACGACAAGTATAAAATAAATGGTTCTTCAAATCAATAAACATTATATTGAAAAAATCTGCTTGTCAGCCTCTTGAAGGATTTCAACTCTGAATAACATCCTGTAACTCAAAGATTATACGTTCGCATACCCATTGTAAAATTGCACTTCATCATTAATTTTAAGATTTTCAATGAAATTAAATAGCAATAAATAACCAGAATTTCTGTTCTATAAGCAAGAATTTGGTTTACTTGTAGGAGGAGAACATTATCAATTAATTGTGCGATGAAATTCCTGTTCATCTTTATATAATAAATGTTTTATAACATGTAGTATTACACAATGTTGTGTATACCAGACATAAAAATTCTTCTATGATAAGGGTATTTCCCTGACATACTCTGTCACGTGCAACGAGAAAACCTCGAACGAAGGGAAAAGATGGGAAAAGATGCATTCAATTTCTCCTAACAATTAAATGACTCCCGATGCAAGATTTCAGCATTATTGCTCTAATCGCGTCGAAAGATAAATACGTACGAGGCATGACATTACGAAATCAGCCGACCCTCGCTGGTGACCAAGAGTGATCCGCTGGGGTTCTGATTTATCACTGACCTCCAATAAATTATCACCGCCAAGAATTCAGAAATGTACTGTCAACAGTTACGCGAATCGTACATTCAATAATTGGCACTTATCGGACGGAGAAAGTTATGTTAGCAAGCAGAAATTTTATATCGCGCTGGCTGACACTTTTCATTCTGGAAAATGTTCGAGTACGTTCAACTTAACTACTTTCCCAACTCAGATTGCTAATTCTTCCGTGGTCGTACAAAAAAAGTACAACTAGAAATAATCCGAAACAATTGTAATCTACAGTAGTTATTATTTTTTAATAAACGGATGTGTATTTCAATCAAGGGCGGATTTTTATGCGCATTTGAAAATACGAAGAGCGCATAATTAAGCATGCACCGTGTGGATCACCCTAAGGATAGATGCCGGAACTAATTTATATTGTTGTCCTTATCGCACGCTGATGCCCTCTTCGTCTAACGCGCGAATATGTTTCTCCTTGTCGCACACTATCACTCTCCTTGTCTACCGCGTATAAATGTCTGTCCTTGTCGCACGCTGTTGCTTTCCTTGTCTACCGCACAGATATCTCTGTCCTTGTTACACACTAGTGCTCTCCTTGTCTAATGACGCTAGACAAGGAAAACAGCAGTATGCGACAAAGACATCCTTCGATCTATTGAAAAAAAAATTCAACTTTTTACACACACGTTCTTCTAGAACAAAACACACATAGAAAGAAAGCGGCGAGCCTAATTCTAAGGACGCATGTAAAAATGTTTGCAAATTATTCCTCTTAATTAGGTGTATTTCGTAATTAGTGCGAACTGTCACAAAATGGACATGGTGGCGCCATCTAGCGGTAACTCAGTGGTACTAATTATTTATAAAAATATTTATTTCTGCATTTTACGAGTCAAATGGGGTATGAAATGAAAGCTAGGGGTCTAATTAGGATAATACAATCACGAAAGTTCACAATTCATTTCGCTAAATTAGGTTCTTTCGGAAATGAAAATTTCTCTGTTTTACGGGGTAAGAAACACTAGCGCCGCGTTGTGGCAGACCAAAAAACAGGATTTTCTACTTTTAGTACCACCGAGTTATCAATAGATGGCGCCACCATCGCATCTAAACATTGACAGGTGACATTTTTTCCACAAATTACGAGAAGAAATTAACTACGAGGAATCATTTGTGAACTGTTGTGGTTGCGTCTTCGATTTTAGGAACCCTAAGCTTGCGTTTTATGTTTTGTTAATTTAAGTATAGTTTGCGTATATAAAGTATATTTCAATTTTGTTTACGTTAGTAATAGTGCCCGTAGTGAGTGCATAATTTCGCGCAAACTATAGTGAATATTAGATTCAGATTTATTTACGAACGTAACTGATAGCATTGTCTTTGAAATACGTGCTCGTGGAGTGCAAATTAGTAGCGTGAAAAATTAAAATTAATTATTCCCCTTATATTGTTATAGAGCGTTTAGTTCCTCTGGTCTGCCACAACGCGGCGCTAGTGTTTCTTACCCCGTAAAACAGAGAAATTTTCATTTCCGAAAGAACCTAATTTAGCGAAATGAATTGTGAACTTTCGTGATTGTATTATCCTAATTAGACCCCTAGCTTTCATTTCATACCCCATTTGACCCGTAAAATGCAGAAATAAATATTTTTATAAATAATTAGTACCCCTGAGTTACCGCTAGATGGCGCCACCATGTCCATTTTGTGACAATTCGCACTAATTGCGAGGAAAACCTAATTAAGAGGAATAATTTGCAAACTTTTTTATATGCCTCCTTAAAATTAGGCTTCCCGCTTTCCTTCTATGTGTGTTTTTGTCCTAGAAAAACGTGTGTATAAAAAGTTGAGTTTTTTTTTTTAATAGCTCGAAGGATGTCCTTGTTGCACACTGTTGCTTTCCTTGTCTAGCGTCATTAGAGTGTGCGACAAGGACAAACATATAGGCGCGGACTTATATATATAATCTGAACTTCGGAATTGGTTGAATATTAAAGCGACAAATTTTACAATTTTTTTAAATTATATCTTGTTCATAAAGCCAGATTACAAATCAAAAAATTAAATTTTTTAATTCTGTCGTAAAGAGAGTAGTACCACCTGTCTACCGCTACGCGGCGCTAGTATTTCTGTGTCTGTAGTTATTATGATAATTTAAATTTATATCACAATACTACAAATAAATAATAACTCTGTAATTAATTTTAGTTGTTTATATAAAAATATTATCAATATAACAAAATATACAATTACTAATAATTTAATGAAGATTACATAATGAAAGTTAAATAACGAATAATTTCTACGAATGAAAATTAAATAACGAATGAAGAATTTCTACTATGGCTACAATATATATAAGTGTCATTAAACATTTCCATAGTGATAATAAAATTAATAGTTATTTTTAAATATTCTATTGTTTATATTAAATACACATCTCGACGGAACGATTTAATGAACGTCGTTGATCTAAATTCTTCGAAGTAGAGATCGCTACATGTCCATCAATAGAACGATTTTTCATTTCTAAAAAAAACTAATTTAGAGGAGAAATTGGCGAACCTTTTTAGTTGCATTTTGTTAATTGGAGTATCAGCTTTCTGTTGATACTTTTTTTGACTCGAAAAACTGCGTGTGTAAATATTTCAGAAAATATTAGTACTAGTAGTTAGTTAATAGATGGCGCCACCATGTCTGAAATTCGGCGTCTTTCTAATTGCATTTAATTACTTAATTAGGCAAAAATTCAAAATAATTTCATATAGAGAAGATGTCCAAATATTGAAACTTTTATTTAAATCCAAAATAGCTTGAAAATTCATCTTATGTGTGAATAAATTTAATTTATCAATTTCTTCGGAAACATTAGTCCATATGTGATAGGGCGCTTTGCATTGTAACTCCATTTGCATTATAATTGCATTATAACTCCATGATTAATTAATTACGCAATAATTCAAAGTAATAATAATTTTATAAACAATATAAGAAACATTTCAAGTTCTACAATATTTTTATAATAAACTTAGAAACTATCTGTATAAATCTATTATATATTTTTATATGATACAAAAAACTATTGACTATCAGATCTATTCTGTACTGTGTTTGTGCCAAAGTGAATCTGTGACTATGTAAAAATAAAAAAAAGCATTGTTCGAAAGCAGCGATGTGAAATGATATGACGCTTTCAGCAGTTCAGTTCTATCAACACACTTAAAGAATGGTCATTTGTACGAGAAGTTTTCGCAATTTTCCTTGATCAATAAATAGTTCAAATTACTGAAATTGCTCAATAATGAATTAGAGAGATATTGCAAACAATGCTCACCAGTACTTAGAAACTTCAATTTAGATGTGAATGAAATTAATGTTTGTTGTGTACACGGTAGTAAATAGATCTGTGATTATTGAAAGCTTTCGAACAATAATGGAGTGTCTAGTGGCGAATGTTGATAATATGCGATTTGATATTGAAATCGCCCTTGATGAACAATATGGAGCACTTCCTTTACCCTTTACGGGAATGGACAGTATGTGATAATATATACCTTTGACTAGGTTATCTTCGAATAATGTAGTAACAATTGTAGAATAATATTGTCAATTTGCAAATATTGCAGTGTATTTTTCAAATAAAAAGTTTATTATATTGATAAATTATAACTGAAATTTATGTTATTTATTATTATGTCATTAATTAAACTTGTCTAATTATTGCTTCATCTTCATTTGTAGAATCTACTGCTGCAGTATGTCAGTTCTATCCAAGAGGTACATGCGTTAAAGGAGCCTCCTGTCCGTTTAGGCATGTACGAGGAGATCGCACAATAGTATGTAAACATTGGTTGAGAGGTCTTTGTAAGAAAGGTGATCAGTGTGAATTTTTACACGAGTATGATATGACAAAAATGCCAGAATGTTATTTTTATTCTAGATTCAGTAAGTATGAGTAACATGTGATGAGATTTTGTTTAGCCCTTTCAAGATCCTTTTATTTATGATAAATATAAATATCTTTTTTCCTTTAGTATTTTTTTTTCTTTTTTAATGATATTACTAATTATGAATTGTATATAGATGCTTGCCACAATAAGGAATGTCCATTCCTACATATTGACCCAGAAACAAAAGTCAGGGATTGCCCTTGGTATGATCGTGGATTTTGTAGACATGGACCATTATGCAGACATAGACATGTTCGTCGTGTTTTATGTATGGCATATTTAGCTGGGTTTTGTCCTGAAGGACCAAATTGTAAATTTATGCAGTAAGTTTATTTATCAAGTTAATGTTTCAAATACACTTTATCCTTATTTAGATATATTATTATAATTTTGTATGTACCAGCCCAAGATTTGAATTACCAGCAGTGCAAGATATGCAACCTAAAGAAGGAAAAAAAGTAATGATCACATGTCATTTTTGTGGAGAAGGTGGTCACAAAGCAATTTATTGCAATAAAATGCCACCTGATGTACGTGAAGCTCAAGTTAGACAAGAAATAGAAGGTAATTCCCACGCTACACATCACATGAATACACATAATGGACCTCCACCAAGAGGTCCCCAAAAACCACTTGAAGAAGTCACTTGTTATAAATGTGGAACTAAAGGCCATTATGCTAATAAATGTCCAAAAGGTCATTTAGCATTTTTAAGTCATGCTGGGGGTAGTGGAAGTAGTACTCAAAATCAAAATTATCGTAGATGATTTCATTTATTTTATTTATGTAAAATTAATATTGTGATTCTACTTTAATTTTTAGTAAAATCACTCGTCTGTAAAAATTTCTATATTATATAATAAAATGAGTTTAATATACAGTTCCAACATCTCCAAATAAAATAAAATAACTCTTTATAAGACTTTTGTATTTTTAACAAAAAAGATTTCATGAAAGTAAATATCACCAACTATATACTATAACAAATTTAATTTATTATTTAAAGAATTAAACATACTTCTAAATAGTCGTTATTACATTTTGTAAATGTATTTAAGGGTATTTGCTAAATTATTAAATACGCTATTTCTATGAGCGCATCGATTTTCGACGTAGAATGTTATAAAAAGATATATTTGTTTACCGCTAATTTAATTTGTGACGTTGAACATGGGAAGACGTACTTCGCCATTTGTATATGAAGTGGCATTGTAAGACTATTAATTTTTAAAATCTTGTTTGCTAAAATATTAACATTATTTATCTTTCACGTGATTATTATCAGAAATATTAAGTTCCTTATTCCATTATTGGATGTACATTTAGTACTTGAAATGTAAGTTATTGTTTCATTTTAAGTATATTGTTTTTCTTATATTCTTCGGAATACATTGTACCTAAAGACTGTAAGTTATTATTAAAAGAAAAGTGCAATCATCAGAATCATGAAAATACTGAATGTCACTTTTATATGCAAAAAAGCAAGTGTGGTTTTCTTTTAATTAGGAGAAAAGATCTAGTTGCACAAGAATATTCCTTATCATGTCGTATTGTAATCAATAACTTCAACATAATTAGCAGGAAAAAGTCCATAAGTACCATCAGGACCAAGACCTTGCCACCATCCTTCATCAATAGCATCTATGTGTGTAATAATATCTCCAGGATCAAAAGTAATTTCTGTATCATCAGCTGCCTGATAGTCATATAATGCTCTTGCTTTCATTCCTTCGTTATTTGGATCAAAATATAAGTACTGGCCATCCATTTGACTGTACAACTCATTTTCAGTAATTGCTTCTTTTGCCACTGATGGCTGTTCAGATACTTCTGGTTCTGACAATTTGCATTCTTGAACTTGATTTGGAGACGAAGATGCATTTGAAGTAGTAGTAGTCACCATATCTAATTTATGTGTTTTATTTACTTCTGTTTTCAGTTCTTCTTCTACTTCAGTATGAGGTATCTCTTTTTGTTGATTATCCTCGAGTGCTTTCTTAGCTGCTTCTACATGACTATTTTTCGGTATATATTGTTGTTGCACTGGAGAAGATTTCATTTGACCAGCTGCCGAATTCTGTTCAAAAACAGCTCTTGCATTTATCGTTCTTTGAGCAATTAATTGTTGCGTTTCTTTGCTTCTCTGGCGTCGCAGTTCTTCACTTCTCGATCTATGATCGTCTTCCACGTCGTTACTATAATGCTGACTTGCAGCTAGTTGATTACGTAAATTGTTCGCTTCCTCAGCACGTTGTTCCGCCAACTTTTGTCGCGCTATTGAATTTTCTTTGGCAGTGACCTATAAGTACGTTAAAATTTGAATAACAAAATATTCATTGTAAAATAATAAATAGAATGGTACAAAAGTATTTACTTGTTGTTCTCTGAGCATTGCTTCTTTTTCTTCTCTAGTTCTAATTTCTTCTTCAAGTCGTTGCCGTTCTTTTTCACATTTTATACGTTCTTGTTCCAGTCTTTTCTTCTCTTCCATTTCTTCCCTTTGCCAAAATTGATCACGTTCTGTTGCATTTATTTCTTGTTCAGGAATTACTCTGCAATATATATCCTCTTTAAACTGAAAATTTTACTGAAGATTCTTTTGACTAAAACAATAGAGATACATACCTGCGATATGTGGTACCCACTGGACCTGCATTTCCTTCATTTTCACCACGTGGTTCATTAAATTTATATGCTGAAGCTGTTGCTCTAGCAAGTTTTTCCATAATAGAATCTACTTCAACATCATCTTCAGAACGAGCAGTAATTGTTATATGTGCACCTTTTAATAATTTTTCTATATCCCTAATATGATTTGCACAAGTACCCTTTCTAACAATAGGTGCTCCTTCTCCTTGCTAAAATAAATTTCATTTTATTATATATGTGCAATAAAGTTATTAGCTTTTTGAATATACGTTCTTACCCAATTTATTAAGAGACATTTTGGTAGACTTGTTTTAGTATCTATTACACGACAAAAGGCATACATGATATGACTACTATTTAAACGGTCAATCATTTCTTCCAAACCTCCATTTCCAGTGCCAACCACTTTTAAGTTGTTAGTTTGTCCCTCGTATCCAAACAAGGCCCTATAGATAATAATAATTTAACAAAGAAATATCATATATTCATAATAATTCATAATTTCTCTTTTAATTAACACTAAAAAGATATATTAGTAATTAATAAAGTTCAATGAAGATATAAAATTATTTTATTTTGCAAATAATATTTACTTTTCATTCTCTGTACATATAGTTATTTACTACTTATTTTATCAGTTCAAATACTTATTATATATCTTATACTATTTATATCGATCGACAAAGATAAAAAAAAGAATTACTTAATATAGAAAAGCAATTTACTTTACGAATTTTTGGGGATTCAATTGAACATTTCTAATTTTTAAGGTGCAAAATTCATATCGATATATAGCCGGGATGGAAATATGATATAAAAGAAATGCAAGCCTACCAGTTAGTAGACGATTTATCGTCGACTACGCTGTGCCAGGCAGCCACTAAAGCGTCTTTATTTTTTATTAAATTAATTGACATTTTTCTCGTTCAATTCATTAAAAAAATCAACCGTAACAACAAATCTGAACAAGTTGCTACTGGTAGATTAATGTCACAGTTGCATCTTCACGTTTTGCCTTTTTGATTAAATGTCAACGCCCTTCTGTTACCAACCGCAAGACGATGGACTTTATCTGTATAGATAACGTGTTTAAATCAATTACCAAAAACCAAATTAACTTATACTTGAAACACATAAATATGAACACACAAGTTTTGACGTATGCTAAAACATATTTTAACAAAACTTTATTGACGAAATCCTTCAAGACTGTTCTACAAAGTACGATTGATTATTCGTAAGTACTGACTGAAACCTCCAATCAGCAAAAGCAACACGGGCAAATAAGAAGTCGGATACAATTGAAATATATCATATAGTATGAAATTATCAAATTTTATCTTGATTCATATCTTTTATTTTAAAAAATTATTAATAAATACATAAAGTATGTTTGTTAATGTAAATAAAAAGAGAGAGAAAGCAATATTCATAAAATAAACATTGAAGTCAATGTTTGACGACTAAAACTAAATTTGCAATGTGTATACCACTTTAATACTTTCAAACAAATTGTCATAACTGCAATTTTGTGCCGGCAATCAGAGAATTAATATAAACTTTAATTTAAATAATCATATTTTCATTATGTTTATCAAATAATACGATAAACAAATTAAAAAATTGGATATTTTTATTATTTCATTGAAGATGGTAAGTTGAACGTTTGGCAAATTAACCTTTATTTCTTTTTATAATAAAATAATCTTATTTTTGTGTATCTTTTTCCAGTTGTTTTATTCGTTTTTCAAGTCCTTAATTGGAAAGGACGTAGTTGTAGAATTAAAAAATGATTTAAGGTAAGTTGATCAAGAGAAAAATTCTACTTTGTAATGTTTATAACCACCTAACAAAACTTCTGTATTTAGTATTTGTGGCACACTGCACTCAGTAGATCAATACCTGAATATAAAGTTAACTGATATAAGTGTAACTGACCCAGATAAATATCCTCATATGGTTTGTAATATTTATAATTTTACATGTATAATGGTAGAGAACATTATAACAAAAAGCAAAAATATATCTTTCAGTTGTCTGTAAAAAATTGTTTTATTCGAGGATCAGTAGTGCGTTATGTACAATTGCCAGGAGATGAAGTGGATACTCAGCTATTACAAGACGCTGCCCGCAAGGAAGCAGCAGTTCAAGCGAGATAATTTATATTGATATTAGATGTAAAAATATCTAATATGATTTATTTTTTACTATTGAAATCAACAATGTATACAATGAACATGTAAATTATAAATTTATATATCTTCAAATGTGTAAATTGAATTAACATATAACATTAAAAAAATAGTTTCTAATCATAACAATTCTTTGAAATTATTTTTTATTATGTTTTATATAAAAAAAAGAAAAAAAGAAAAAACATTAATTACATACAAAATTAATAAATTTCATTAAAAAATAGAAAACTTTAATGTACATATATATAATAACTATATATAAAGGCATATCTTTTTAAACCATATATTTAAGATAATTTATATTATCATTTATGTCTTTGCCCATATCACCAATGCCTTGTCATACCAGACATATTTACCCCTTATATCAGTATTTTTTGGTAGTAATGCGCCATAGACAGGAGCTTCAGCACCTTGATCAGGTGACAAAATACCTTTGTGACCAGTCATATCAGTGTTTACAAAACCAGGATGTACAGAATTTACTACAAGATCTTCTCTAGGATCAGAATCAAACATTCTTTGATGAATTCCAGCTAGAGCAGATACTCCAATTTTGCTTATAATATAAGCAGAATTTGGCCATCCTTCTTCCAAATGTCTGTTCTCCTTTGCAGCACTGAAAGTATAATCAAAACTTAAAATACATCTCATAAAAATAAGTTTATATTTTGCAATTCAACATACTTAACAAATCCATGTAAAATATTATCTAATTCTTCCTCTGTAAGATTTGGATCTAAAAATTTTTTTCTTAGTGATTCATTAGAAATGGACTTTAAACGACCAGAAGAACTTGACACGTGTACTACACGTGCATGTGGTTTCAATAATGGATAAAGCTTCTTGCACACTTTTCTTAAAGCAAAATAATTTACTCTCAATGTCTCTTCAGCTTGTATAGAAAAGGGTTCTGTAGCTGACTCCTGTATATTTAATACAATTTATTTAGAATTTTTTATAAAAAAAAATAAATGAATGAATTAGACTGTAATTACCTTAAATGCAATACCAGCATTGTTTATTAATATGTCCAGTCTATCATACATTTCTTTTAAATAATCATGAAAAGTAGAAATGCTATCATCATCAGTAATATCAAGTTTATGAAAATTTGGGTTTAAACCTTGTTGTTTGAGTTTCCTAATAGCATTGTATCCTCGAATAATATCACGAGCTGTTAAATACACAATTCCATCAAATTGTTTGCAAAGTTGTTTTACAATAGAAAATCCAATGCCTTTATTTGCACCGGTTACCTAAATATATATTCAATTCATTATTAAGATATACAAATTCTAATAATATATAATTTACAACATACTTACAACAGCTACACGTTGAGTCATGTTGAGTATTTCAAAATGATCTTTTTAAAAATAATAATTCGAAAAAATTAAACGCAATATATAAGTAGTTCGATTTATGTTCGTATGTCTTACTGGATTGAATGTACGTTATTAAGATTATATATAGTCGTGTCAGTCTTTATCTAACTTACTAATAACTATTTATTGTCATGGTATAATAAAAAAAGTCTTCGGCTTTTTCTGTCTTGACATTATTGACATTGTGAGCAATCGCTCAGTATATCGAAACGAATTATCAAAACAAAGCTTTACATACATTCAAACAATATTGCATTTTTGAAATTATTCTCCAAATTATTCCCAATCTGTAAAGTAAATTGACAAATTACAAATAAAATTCTAACAACTAAATGTACATTCAAGTATTATATTAGTAATGTAACTATTCGTTTGTAGAATGTTTTTTAATTATATATTGTTATTGCTAATTATTGGTTACTTGTAGCGTGTCGAAAAGATGATAGACAAAATTAAAATTTCAAATGCTCAAACGATTGATAAGGAGCAGTACAAAAAACTGATTTCATTCTGGAAATCAATAATTGGGAGTGATGATTGCAAATCATCCAAATGTGAATTAAAATCAAACATGAAAGAAATATGTATGAGAGGAGGGACGGAGAAAGGGAAACTTTTAAACAAAGCATTATCATCTCAAGTGTAAAACACAATGGAGAATACATAATGATGTAAAGTTGTTTCAACAATGAACGAGATGAAAAATTAGTTATTGAAGGTATGTTAGCGGCAACAAAATATATAAATATATTACATGAAAATTTATTTCCATCAATTGAAAAATTCCATCAATTGTATTTGAACAAATTTATATACGTTTCAACGCAATAACAATTCGAAACATACCGCGAAAATGGTTAAAAAATTTGTCGAGGAAAATAATATTTCATTGTTTTCTTGAACACCACAAAGTCCCGATCTAAATTCTATAGAACATTTGTGTAATGAACTTGATAAAAAAATACGAATGCAAATTAAAATGATAACAGTCCTGAATGAAATGAAATAACAGCCAGAAATTATTTTTATTAGAGATAGTAAAGGCTAAAGGCTATCAAAGTTCTTATTAATATTTCAATTATTGGAATTTATAGAATTATAACTTCGTTTACATATAATATTAGATGTCAATTAGAAAATATTTGTTAATTTTATTATTAATAATACAGGATAAAATCCTTTTTTGCAATATTACTTTAAAACCTGAATATATATATTTCTGTTAATGCAATCTTCTATTATAATGATAAGTGTTAACTTGAATGATGATGCAATTGTATATATCTGCGAGTAGCATAGGTAAATAATTACACGTTATAATGATTAAATTGTTTCATATTAGTTTCTTTTCTATTTTTCTTTTGTACACAATTTAATTCCTTGATCTCATATATATGTTTTAAAAAAAATATTTTAAAAGGTACAGTAATCAACAGAATTCAACAATAAATTGAAATATTAAATAATAATTTATTATAAAAATTACATTAGTTACATTAAGTCACTACTTCTAATCTAGCAATTCTATATTGTCTTGTCTGGATATTTCTAATAAGAACAAAGGGACATTTTTTATCAATCAGTTCAATTAATGAATTTAATGTCACATATCCAAAACCTATGCCTTTTGCTTTTGTAAAACAAAAATCACCCATTGTAATATAACCCATGATTTCTCTATTACAAGAATTTCGTACTTTCACACACTCTGGAAGATATAACTGTGACATTTTTTGAGATTGTTTACTAATGGCCTCACGACTTATTTCTAATAAATTCTTTAATTTATTTTCATAGTTAAAATTTTGAAAATCCTTAGATAACATTTTACTTAATTTATTAATTAATGTCTTTCTATGATGTATTCTTTGTCTTTTCAGCCGTTTTAAAAGAGCTAAATGATTTTTTCGCGATATTTTACGAATATTTTCATTTGGATCAATATTCAGTTTTTCCACAGGACCTGACCAGCTTTTATTGATTCTGAAGTTTTCTATGTCCTCATTAATTGGCATACATATTATTGCAAATCTTTTAGGATATCCTTTTCTTATGATATCTACTTTAACATGAATTAAATAATTTTTATCTTCAAATGCATTATGCACAGAAAGACTTGATATATGATTATTTGACTTATTACACCTTTTTGAGTTATTTTCTTGAACTAAGTTTTTTTGTAATAAATTTATTAATTTACGATTTCTTAATACAGAAAAATATTCTGTATTTGTCCATTCTTTCATTAAAATATTCCATTCGCAAGAGAAAGGACTAGTAATTCCAAATTTAATGAAATTCACGCGTCTGTTTGGTGGGTAATGAAAATATTTTTCTCTTAACTCCAATTTGGTATTTAATGCTTCTCTTGCGTATGCAGGAGTATCTGGATCATTGATATCTGGGGACTGCATATTCTCACATTCAAATGCTATAGATTTTGATTCTCTGAGTGCACCAACTCTTACAGAATGAAATATAAATGCAAGCCAGAATGACATTGCCCAATTCGATGGAAGTATAATATCTATTCCAGAACCTAAACCTAAGATGATAAATTTATTAATTTTATTTATTTTTATTGATAAGAATTTTCTAATGTAACTTTTATTAATAGAAGTTACCTGTATTTCCAATTCCAGGTCTCTGAATCAGCAATATCGGTATCTTTGCCATGATTTCTTCATTAAAATATTTGTCATTATTTAAACCAGGTACTAAACATTGACTTCTTATTTTATTAATTGCAGTTGTCGTTACACATGTTTTACTAACTTTTTCTCTTATTTTTTGTTCCCAAAGTGGACTAGAATTCGCATTTGTAGGAGGTATTGATATTATCTCAGTCATTTGTGTCTCTTTCTGAGGTTTAGTTCTTTTATCTGGTAAATAGAATCTTGGATCCAAAACTGTAAAGCCAAGAATAATATTTGGTGGTAACTGACTAGGTGATTGTAACGTTTTTAACGCTTGCCATAATTGTTTCTGAATTTTCAAAGACTCAATATTTTCCTGATTATCATAATATTCAGTATGCCACGATTTATCAGAATTATGATCCTTCTTGCAATCTATTTGATTATTATCAAATTGTGTTGTATTCAAATCCAAATTAGTTGTTTTATTGAATTTCGGCAATTGAAGAGCGTTTGTTAAAACATTAATTGTCAACGGTCCATAAAAACGAAATCGATTAAAAGTATTTTTATGAACAGTCATTTTACAATCTTTTCCATTAATATATAGGCAAGATTCTAGAGTTTGATTACTCGTAGTAGCACAATGTTCGTTGCGTTTAAATTCAAAACTAGATTTAATTTCCACGATGAAATCGTCGAAAAAAGATGGATGTACCCATATCCATATAGTTCTTAGATCAGATTGATTCGGTCTCCATAAAAAATGTACATGACCAATTGGAAATTGAGGATAACCATTCTTTTTAAAAAACATAACAGTTCCTTCTCGTGTGCCTTCCATAAAAATTTTCGCAGCAAACGTTAATTCAAATGGATTGCAATGGCTCTTCAAAGTTTCTTTCAAAATTTCCTGATAACCATTAATTTCGACACATGTATAATATGAAATATCTTGCATCAAGCAGTGTTTAGCCATTGCACGATAATTCGCTTTGAAACATTTATCATTCGCGTAATTTGCGATTCTGTAACCCCATTTCTCTATCATATGGAAACGTTTTGCATGCCAGATATGAGTTTCTAGCCAAATTTTATTTCGTTGCCTTCGTATATATTCAGCAAGTAAATTATGAGGGCGTCTGCGATATCTACGCGATGATCTTTTAATTTTTGGCGGCAATCCAGATTTGGTCATTTGATTTAAATGTGCTTCTTGTAGTCTGCGCGGTAAACGCTTGACATTATGGGACATAACGCGCCTGCGCATATATACCGGCAATTTTTGAAATACAAGCTTTGTTTGTTGAGGATTTTCTGTAAATATATTAATCAGTAATAATTTTTTGGTCAAAATATTTAGCACAAATGTATACATTGGTGAGAAAATTTTAATTTACTATAATAGTTTTGTGTGTCATTTAACATACCTATAGAATACGTCATTGCAGCAATTTCACTAGCTCTTGCTGAAATAAGTTTCATAATGTGGACTTCATGTGGTAAATGTTGCGATCCACCTAAGAATCCATCAAATTGTTCCGTTCCGGCCATATTTTATGTATATGAATATTTTTCTAAGTTTTATTTACACCAAGATAACCTGATATACTTAAATTTATTATTAGTAGAAAAAGGGTGTTACAAATCAATGTACTATAAATATCCTAGTGGTAAGCACACACGGTCACTATATAAACATAATTCTGAAATACAAATTGTAATTTACTGTACATTGCTTGACACTACTAATATTCAGATGCACGTGTGTTCATTTAAAGCATAGTTAAAAATATTTCAATTAGAACACAGAAACGCCGACGAGTTTGAACTAGCCGAAAATATTTTAGTCCTGCGCCTGCAGGGGGCATTCCTTGAGGCCAATAAGAATTGGACTTAAGGAGAACGAAATCGTAATAATTATTTATCAAAGCGTGTACGCAACACGCGTTGGCTCTATTACATTTGGATGCTCGCTAACCAATAAGGAGTAGGTTGTCTGCAACGATACATCAAACATCAAGAGTTTCATTGGCTCGCAGAATTCCGAGCCAACTATACGAAACTATACGTAAAAGTAGTTGGAAATCGAATGCAGCGTACTATATGGGAATTGGCCACTGGTCTACGATCTATACAATTGCCCCCGTCCAATGATGCTCAATTTGCCTGCTATTTGTCAGTTAAATGTTCAGTGCGATCCTTCTGCTAATGTCAGGATCCGCGCCGTGAAATAGTCGCCATCTTTGCGACTGAGTCGCATCTCTCAATTTGGCCCGTTGTATGTTCCGCGCAGCTTTATGTAGCGTTAGAGAAAAAAAAATCGTTGAAAGTCCGTGTCGAAGGAGCAAAGCGGTTTCAGCAAGATCGGATAGCGTTCGAGCTGTTCCGAAAAGTGTTAGCCCAACGCGAAAGTGGGCGGAACGCATGGATCTTACGTTCTTTTAGCCGCGCCACAGTAGGTGATAGAGAAAATTGTCGACATTTGACGAGTGACACGTTAAATTTGTATTAGACGTTCCACACGTTCGTGATAGTAATATTAACTCGTGTAATCTGGTTGGTTGACCATTTACCGGCATATGCCATTCTAGTGTGTGTTTGTTGAAACAGTTTGGTGTAAGAAAAAAATGAGTTGTCAACGTAACGCTGGCAAGATTACAGTGCCGGACGAGTTACGAGATGTTCTATTGGAGTTCACGATCGGCTATCTGTTGGAGCAACCAGTGGATATTATCGACTACGCCGTAGGTTTTTTCACGCAACTTCGGGAAAGTCGTCAAACTCAGTTGATTCAAGCCCCTGCGCAGACCGCCTCTTCTACGCCGGACGAGTCTGTCGAGGAAGGTAAGCCAGTGAATTTTCATTCGGGATGCGACTTCCTATCGCGTCGAGTATTCCTTCCGAGCCCATCCGACACGCTTTTTCACAGAAAGGATTTTCAGTGCGCGATATTACTTCCATTTCGAAACTTGATCTTTACGTTCGTCTTTGAAATTCGATCGGTGTATTAGTGATTCTTTGTACAAAAAATTATACATATGTGCACATCAATGGAGACCGGTACGATATTTCCCGCTTAATCTGCCTCTTCTCTTCGAGTTGTTAGATTTCTAAATTGGAATTAGTTTCAATTTTTAATATTTCTGATACTTAATTCGATTTATAAATTACGTTCAATTCGACTTATAAACTAATAGATTTCGACTCAAAACTAAAGAAGAATACTCATGAAAGAAGATTGGTGTATTATAAAAATTAATCCATCAAATAGTTAAAAAATTCTACATTCAAATCTTTTTCATTCTTTATAGAACCACCAATCGGGAGATTCCAGTACAGGAGAAAGAGTGTTTTTGCGGAAGCTTACAATCCTGAGGAGGATGAGGAAGACGATGGAGTCAAGGTGTGTTTCTTTCTTCATTTCATTCTCACTCGTTTCATTCAACAAATCTTTGTTGTTTTCAGTGACATTTCTTTATCATTTTCTATATACATCCCTCTATACTTTTGGTCACGTTACGCAAGGAACCATATTGTCGATAAATTAGCTCCAAACGAAAACTATACGTTGAATCAATTGATATTAATCGAACTACACAACCAGAAAATCAGCCACAATGAGAGGAACTATTCGTTAGAAATTTAACTATTCATTAAGTTAAATGTATCGAGTCGAGTCGAAAGGACTGAAAAATAAATTCTTCATTACGGTATATTGGAACGCGACAAGGATAGGGTTAATATGTTTTACGTGTATACATACATGTATACAAAGAATATATATATTATAATATATATATATATATATATATATATATATATATATATATATATACATATATACATACATGTGTATCTCTTGTAAAAGCTAAATATGGATGCTTTATGGCTCCTTCGGGTAACACATGACCGATCGCTTCGAAAGAAATCGCGGTTCGAAAGAAGACATCGCTACCACAATGGACTCTAAATTTTCGACGATCTGACACGTTGATCAACGTGTATCACGCGAAACATTGAAAGCAACTACTTCTTTTCCTTTTTATCGGAACATGAACATATTCAGGCTGTGCGGGTGACGAAACGGGATGATTTACTTTGCTCGACGATGCGAACGATGTACCTTTGTGACGTCAGAGCGCGTGTTCGATAACCTGCTACCGACGTGACTTACATATGTATGTATGATGTACATACGTGTGAGCGTGAATGAGAAAGAGTGAGAGAGAGAAAGCGAGAGCGAAAGCAAGAGAAAAATAAAGAGAGAGTGAGAGAGAGGGACGCATGGGGAAGGCTCGCCGGACCGAGATTGTACTGCTCGAAAGCGTTTCAAAAGACTGTACCGATCTTGATTGTCGATATCTTGGCTGCTTAAACCGTTCAGAAAACCTTTGAAAACATAGTGGATTGACTAAAACATCTAATTATCTTATTATGGAAGAGTAGAAAGTTGAATAGATTCCGATAAATAAGATATAAGGATCAATTTCTCCATGAATCGTTTATATTAAACCGATCAAGGCTATCGATATTTTTTCAAGCGTGACCACGTGCCTTTTTTTACGTAGATACATATATGTTTTATTGTTGAACCAGTTGATTAAAACAAGGTAAATCAATATCTGGGGGAGGTAGTCGGAGTTTGATCGTGTGAAGCGTTGATACGATGCTCGAAATAATTGGATGATCATCTTTTCAAATGATTTGATCTCGAAATAAGCTATCCTACATTTTACAAGCTTGCATTTAACATATGAGTTGTGTTTAATTCTTAATAATTGAAAGTGTATGCTATAGATTTAATAGGATTAAGAAGAAAAAAACGCCGACGCTTGCTGTAATTTTAAGTTTTTAATAAATCACTGTTCAGCGTCGATGAATGTAATATGTAGTTGAGTGATAGATACACAAGTAACTTATCTCGAAAATACGATTTTCAAATTGAAAATTTCAATTTTATCCACACACATATACACATACTCACTATTCGTTTTAATCGGAGCAATTAGATAATACCACTTTTGATACATGGAGTCTTCGTTGCCTTGTTTCGAGTTCGCCTTGCGCAAAAATTTCAACTCAACATTCCGTAGAATTGAATACTAGACTGTTCCACTAGGGAAAATGTTAATTACGTGCGTACGAATTGGTATTAAACATCGCGCAATTGGAATGCAGATGAATCAATTAAGAGAATATGAGACGTTTCTTTCTAAAATAAGAATGCGATATAACATGCAAGTTGCCTTAAATTAGGACTTTACAATTGTATCGAAAACAGGAAGCCAAGCGTAAAACTAAGTTCAAGATTGAATTAAATATAATATCGTTTTGGAGAAGATGAATAGAAGCAATATTAGACTGACTACTTCTTGTAAAATTAGCCACAATCGAATGTAAAGGTCAGATAATACGAAACGAAATACGGCTTAGATCTGTTTATTCTCGTGTTGGGTTTCTAAAAAAAGCAGGTTGAGATTGAAAACAGCTGTACGGTAGTATAATGGATAGTTAAGCGTATCAATCCCTTAGGGGATTGAACATCGATTATGAGATTTTGAAAAAAAGATAAGCCACAATTACTCATCACTAAGCAATTTAGAGTTCTTAGGATCTTTTTTACTTTCTAACGCTGTTGGTATCGGTCGCTGGTAAGCGACCAAACGTAAGATCGTAAAAGAGTTCGATTTTTCTTCCTTTTTTTTAAACTTACCGTGCTGTGTAATCTACCCACGCGTATCTAATGGGAAACCCTTTCTTTTTATAACGGATACAGTATATTCAGTCCTAGCATTATCGATCGATCACGCTGCAATTAATTTATAATATCGATGCGTATCGCGAGATGATCGGAATTCTTTTACCATTAACAGTTTGAAGAATTCACAGATTTAGATATTTAATAAAATGATTACAAATCCCGTGATCTGTTAGTTGTAAGTAAAATCATTATCACATTGAAAATTACTAGCATAGATTAGATTAAAATTGATTCTGTTTATGCTTGATATCCTTTCACTCATTGATTGCAGATGGTGCATCCGAAAAGTGACGTGCAACGGCAGAGGCTTGGTGACAGCGTGAAACATATTCTCCTGTTTCGTGCTCTAGACGAGGTAAGTTAAACATAGTACACGTACACTCTCTAACCTGCGCGTAATTGAAATAGGAATACAGAACGGCGAGGGTTCGCGCGCCGACTCGTGGAAATGCCAATGAGTACGTGTAATCTGCCTCAACTTGGATTCAGAGTCTCGGATATGAATTACTTTGAAGAGAGGAATACTTAATTTGATTAACATAGAAATATAAGTTTCTAATGATCAAGAAAATGCTTGCTGCTCTTGTTCCGTTATTTTTCATTTTACTTGGATATGTTGCTGTGAAATGTTATGTAAAATTCCATAGTTATAAGCAACTGTGAAGCATAGATTAAAATATATATGTAGTAGCCAATTTTGGATTATAGAATATAAAAGACTTTGTCTTTGTCTTTAAGAGAATTCATTGTAGACCGCTTCGAATACAATGCTTCAATTCCTATTTCAAAATGTTTTTCTCGCAGATAGATTAATTCTTTATATCTAATTACGTCTGCGGGTTATTAATCTTCTGTTTTAAAATTCCTCATTCATTTAACTTTTTTCTTATTTTCATTAATCAATTATACTTTTGTAATTCGTCACAAAAAAAAGGAAACACTATATATTAGTTTATTTTGTATAATAATTATCATTTTAAAATTATTCTTTCAATTACATAAGATATTATCTTTCGTGTATCTGTAGATCATCTGATTCGAAATATCATGGTCTTGAATATTAGGAAAAGTAAAAGTTCTTAGTCATGAAATATTTACGACATGCATGCACGCATATGCGTTGCATGAATTTCTTACAGGAACAAATGGCGGACGTGCTAGACGCGATGTTTGAGAAAAGTGTGCAGTCTGGAGATTTTATTATCCGGCAAGGTGATGATGGTGATAACTTCTATGTCATCGAAAGGTAAAATATGTTCTTTTTTGCTTTCTCCGCAGCTTGCATAGCTTGCATCTCCGTGCGAGATGGAATTGATCGTCAAAGATATAGCATTCAATTGTTATACCTCTTTCAGAGGAAAATTTGAAGTGTACGTGAAAGATCAAGATTCGGGAGTGGAATCCATGATACATACGTACGATAATCGTGGTGCTTTTGGTGAACTTGCGCTCCTTTACAATATGCCAAGGGCGGCCAGTATCAAAGCTATCACGCCTGGCACACTATGGGCCATGGATAGACAAACTTTCCGGCGTATTTTATTGAAATCCGCCTACAAGAAGCGCAAAATGTACGAAGACCTTATCAATAAGGTCCCGATGCTGAAGCATCTCGAGGCAAGTTTTATGGAATTTATAGCGGAAGACATTGCGGTATACGTAAAAGATTACTAGGAAGTGATATTGCTTCATCGTTTAAAGATTGAATATATTATATATAAGGTTCTGTTTGATTGATGTTAACAGCTGACCATTTACTCTAATGTATTACTGAATTTTGGATGAAGCACAAGAGAGTTTGATTGCCAAGAAACGTTCAGCTATAATTGAAGTCGTTAACGTTTGTTTCGTATTTCATTGTTTCATAACGAACGAATTTAATGTTAACTTTGGTGTAATTATAGGTATAATTATAGGAATAATAGTAATAATAATAGTTTAATAACAGTATTTCAATTTGATTCTCTTCAGCCGTATGAGCGTATGAACTTGGCGGATGCTCTAGTACCAAAACAGTATTCAGATGGCGAACAGATTATCAAACAGGGCGATACAGCCGACGGGATGTATTTTGTCGAGGATGGTGTCGTCAGAATCACCATAATAGGAGATCACGGCCGTGAAATCGAGGTAGCTTGTTAATTTTTGTTTTCCAATGTGTAACATAATTGCAACGATCATTGACTTATATAGCTTGATGCAGTACGAAGTTGATATCATAGTTACCTAGGAAACTAAGTATACTAATTACGTTTTCAATTGTATGGATGTCATTTGGTATTCTGTTTGATACTATAGATTAATAGAGTTCCCGCTGGTGGGTACTTAGGCGAGTTGGCGCTGGTGACACATAAACCTCGCGCTGCTTCGGCCTACGCTGTGGGCGACGTAAAGCTGGCCTGTAAGTTGCCTTTTCACATCCTTCAAATTGAGTTACTGTGCGCTAATGTATCTATTTATGTAAATCTATCATTATACGTTTGATTCCCAATGGGTATGAATCATTACAATATTGGTGTCTGTGGTGTACATATGTGATTTAATTCGAAAATTGCAGTCATAAATTGCGTGTCTCTTTCTTTATATAACTTTTTCAGTTTTGGACGTTGAAGCTTTCGAACGCTTACTTGGGCCTTGCATGGAACTTATGAAGCGCAATATCGACGATTATGAAGATCAACTAGTCAAAATCTTTGGCAGCAAAGCTAACATTTCTGATATCCGATGAACTGTTCGCGAGCAGTGATACGTTGCACTGCTGTACTAAAGATCCGACACTTTCGTACAGTAATGTAAAATGAGCACAAACTTGTACCACCCACTTTATGAATCTCATCCGCGTATTTTCAAGTATCATCTCGAGTCGACTTTCGTAATGACTGTTCACTTAGACGTATACCAGTAAGAATCGTCGTTAATAGTTACCAAGTTTGTACCTATGACACACAGTGAAAAGATAACAAAAAAGAAAAAAACATAAAAAAAAGAGAGAAAACTATAGGCACCTCGCCTGGTTTGTATCTGTATCACAGTACTGAAGTGAATTTTCTAAGACTGCATCAGATCAAGAAGTATTAGCCTGTCTTGTCATGTGCTCGAAATGTTTACAAAATAGAAGCCTGAATACTAAATAAGATTTTCATTGAACTGTTCGTAAAAAAAAAGATGGAAGCAAAAAAATACTCGAAGTGATGCAACGTATCGACAAACTCAAAGTTCTCAAATGGTATATCTTTATGCTATTCTTTATTCTTGTACTTGATAACTTAAAGAGCTGTATTCCATTTTACTGAAAATGTCAAGAGTCAATGAATTAAATTATTTCGTATACTTCGTTGATTCATCGAAGGAGATACTTTAAGGTATCTTACATTCTTCATAAAGTAGAATTTTTATTGATACAGCTTATTGTGAAAATACTAGCTTAGTTATTAAATTATTAGACAATGATACAGACACAGATGATAAACATAATCATCAATGTGTTTTTACTATGATAACAATAAATCATAGCTGAAACGCTATGTTAGAAAAATTAAAAATGTAAGAAGACAGAGAGCACAACAGGCAAATTAGAGCAATTATTATTACCTACACGATTTTTAAATGCAAACCAACTACTATTTTCTATAAGAACATCAGGCATTTATGTTCATCTTTGGGGAAAGGGGAGGAGGCTGAGAATGTAAGAGGAATATCATTTCATATATAATATTCTTTAGGTATTTCATCTAACAATATCTAAATAGAAATCATCTTTCTCATTTTTTTTCTATATATTAAACAGAATGATTTTCCTAATTCTCATGTTCCTAATTTTATGGTTTGCTCTTTACATGAATAAAAGAGTATTATAAAATATACATACATATTTTTGCGTAGCGCACAATAAAACATTTATTTCGTTGTATGTTACATATATACGCGCACAAATAGTGTTTGATCATTATTATTTTATTTGCATATATTGTTTATATTTATTAATATTTATGATTATTTACTACAACGTAAAATACTTGCTGTAGCGCACATAACCAATATATTATACATCGAAAAACAATACATTTTTCGATAATCTACTCAATTGTATCGATACACAACATTCATGATAACATTATTTTACGAGTGAGTTATTTTCAAAAATCAACGCTACACCTTTCCATGAAAGAAGATTAAACAAGCACATTATTTTTTGTAGAATTTAGTTACAATAGTAAATGTGTTTGCAATAATCTAAGATCACTCTTGAAGATATGAAAAAGAAAGAAACAAGTAAGAATATCTTCTCAATTACGTTATTTTTTTATTTGTCAAGATCTTTATACTCATTGATGTTACTTGCAATATACTTCAACTTCAAATATTTTATGATATCATTGTGAAAGAAATGGCTGAGTAATGTGGCCTCAGATCATATTCATGTGTGTCTTCATTGGTGAATCCTGGTAACAAAAATCGACCAAAATAAACCTATAAAACTATTTTTGTTACACGTGTATGATACACGTTATACATGTATGATATACGTCTAGCATCGTGATAAAACAAAAAACAGTTTGAACTAATTTGAACGTTGTGCGAATAAGTGCGTATGCTAGTCACTTTTTAACGGTCGTTTATTTGTCGTGTTTTTTTCTCGACAAATCGAGAGAAGAAAACGGTCAAATGTTTTATTACTATGAAACAAGAACTATATATTCACTGTGTGACTGAAACTCAAAAGCGACATGCTTTCTAAATAATATCACAATCGCAGAGGAGAAAGGAGGAGAAGACTAGTAATATGTAAACGGAGAGAAAATAATGTACTAGTAGAGATTGTTAGCGAAATGTTGTGTTGCTTAATTTTTGCTTCTGAATTTTTCTATTCTTGTTGAATTTGCTCGTTATCGAATTTCTCAGTTTGTATAAAACAAATGATTAAACATTGAAGAAGCGTATATAGATAAAATTTTTCTGGTCTGAATTCTAGCCATTTGTGCCATTCTATTTAGTTGCTTTCGACAATTCGACGGCAAAGTTTAGCCATAGTTCTTAGTCTTCCACCGTGTCTCCAGGCTGTGATATTATTTTCGACGAAGTATTTCATTCTTTTCATTCTAGAACTACGTAATACAAAACACACAAATGTCTCTTATTAATACCGCTTCCAGCAAGAAAAGGAGGAAAAAATTAAAGAAAAAAATTAATAAGAAATAAAAAAAAAAATAGGAGAATAAAATCTAAAATCTATCGTGGAATCAAGGAATTTCCAAAATATATCGAACCGAACTTTATTAACTGTTGTTTGCATCGTTAAAATGGGTGAATCAAAAGTTTTGATCATTATGAATCGTAACTCAATCGTTTATGTCGAAATAAAAAGAAATCGAACAATTAAAAAACAAAAAATTGTATACATACATAATACACGTATATAAATATAAATATAGATAGATAAATAGGTGTATATATATTTATATTTATATATATTTAATATAGTGGAAGATTATTCTCGCACACCGAATTGAAAACTATATTTAGAAGTACTTATCTGTATGTAGCCAACATTCGGATAAATTAAATGTAAACGCTTAAGTAGAGTTGACTCAATTTAAATTTGTCAAGTATGGTTTATATCTATAAATGTGGTCTCTCTCTTCTACGTGTTGCGTGTTGCCCTTCTGTGTGTGTGACGACCAAGCCAGTAAATTTTTATTCCTTGATCAGCGTGAATTGTTATGATCAGATCTTCTCGTCTGTACGATTGTACGTTTCATGTCATCGCTACTGAAAGTAATCAAATCGTATAAAAAAAAGAGAAAAAACCGTAACTAATTAAACCCGTAAACAATTAAGTGCGTTGCGAATGAATCTCACTTGTAATACACGTTATTTTACTGTGCCACACATGGTTCCTTTACTCAGTTGCTTCCGGAACAGAAAAACAATCGATTATGCCTGAATTTGAAGTGTACTAGGTTGCTTTAAATCGGCATAATCTAATTTGTTTATCGCTAGTCTAGTCGAAAGCGTTTAAAAGAGAATATTTCTTGAGTAACTGAGTATAACAGTTACAAAAAGTTAGGTAATGGGTTATCCTATTGATTGCATATCTTCGAAGCGTTGACAATATTATTCCCATAAAAATACAAAATTCGATCAATGATATTATTATAATTTGGCAATAGTGTAATTTATCATATTTAGGGCAGAAAATAATTATCTGATCACGATGAAATGTCAACGCGTTAAATATATGCATCAGCATAATCCATCATGTTCCTCGCGTACTATTTCCGTTTTTCATGTATACTGCTATCGATGCTCATTTTAGAAAAGCCCATGCTGTTACGAATTCGCACGCATGACACTTGTGTAAGTGTAACAGTCTCTCTTAGCATCGGACCAAATATCTGTAAAAAAAAGAAAAAGAAAAAAAAAGAAACCGGAGCAATGGAGTTTGTGCGACTATTTTTCTCGCGCTTTCCTCTCTATCTCTGTTTCTTGTTGTTTCTAACCGTGTGGTATCTAAGGGAAAAGTTAGTGCGCTGAGCTATAAATAGGCTATTGTAAATGTATTTAAAGTGCACGACCGTATGTGTATAACTAAAAAGTCGTAAAGATATTCGTCGTCCTCACTGGCTCCACGTGTAAAGTAGCCATCGATAAAGAAAAAGCTTGCCCTCGATGCTACTTCCATTACCAAACGGTACTCGTTCTAACAACTTGCAGCAATTTGCAGTAACTTTGTATCAAAATGTGTATATGTAGCTTAACATTGTGGTAGAGAGGGCCCCGGAAGTGCCGAGAGTCTACGAAATCATTCTCTTCGTATTTTTGACGAATTCAATCAAAGCAATACGAGCGGTGCAGCTCGATTGCGTATCGACAATCGTCCGATATCATTGCATGAAAGTCTCATAATATTCAAACTATCCATCCTTTTTTTCGTCATTTATCACTTACCTCTTCATTATTATTATTCTTGTTATTATTATTGTGATTATGATCATGATTGTTGTTATTATTATTATTTTTATTACTACTGTCATTATCATCATCATTATTATTGAACACGTATTTCCGGAGGCATTATCATTTCCTTATTACACGGACGTGTCTTAACATTATCGTAATGCGATTGCATTAATCAAATATCACATTCTTTGCTTAATCTAACAGCGATGATGTGACGTGACGTATTATAGAATTGATGTAAAATGGTATCGGATAAATCGCATACAGGCCAGGGAAATTTAATCGCGGTATATTTCATATTGAAACTGGAACGTTACGGAAAAGATATTCCTGTTTTTTCGTATGTTAATACCTTGCCTTGTTAGATCTTTTGATTATACAAGCATGCGCCATGTGAAGATTGTTCTACTTGTCTAATGAATGTTTAATGGATACACATATACATTTATATATATGTATGTATGTAATTTTCCGAATGTTGAACGATATTTAGCGTTTTGCAAAGATAAATACAAAGCTGATAAAAACTGGTAGACATTATTCTTCTAATTTCGTTCGTCTGAGCAACTAATACACACAAAAACACGCAGTTATCAATACAGAATAAGTATATTCTGTATACACACGGCAGAATAAGTGGAAGACTGGCGTAGATACGTAATTTTTATTTAACATGTAAAACGATTGTTCTAATGTCACTATATCTATTAACTTGTAAAGCGAGTGCATGCGTGAAATGTGAAAGTTCGTTGACCACCTTGTTATTGGAATTGCATTACGCGTCTACAGAGGGAAAAGAGTATCTTAATGCGAACCAAGTAACGTGCGATATTACGATTCTCGATGATATGCTAAACATTAAATCGAATTACTGTAATCCTATCAGGGTATTGTATGTTGAAAACATGAACGCGTTAGAACAAGAGAGATGTTATGAAATGCAGAAGTCCTCGAGGAACCAAGGTTCATCAGAAAATGATTGATTATCATTGAACGATCTAATAATTAAAAAAAGATACTGGAAGATTAAATTAGATTATTCCGAGCTGTTTTGAATATATTTAATAATATTTAAGCATCGAGCTTCTATCTAGAATCGTAATTCGTTCTTCTCGTTTTGTGCATTCGCGCAATATATTTATCAAGCGTTTATTGTGCATTTCATTCACATGAGGAATTGCAATTTCAAATATAGGAAACTCTGTAATGATCGAAGACGGCTACTACGTGTAGTATGATGTCTTAAACTTTTTTATCCAAATACTACCAATATATCTTATGAGTAAAAATAAGAAGAAAATGACATAATAATAGTCATAATAAATTGGTTTGATATTTGATAGAATGTTTAAATGAGCAATCATTTCAACGATAAACAAAGTAAACTAATTTTTTAATCTCAAAAATTAACAGATAGCACGCCAATAGTTTTTACTTGTAAAGATTGCATTCACAATGTAATAAATTCAATTTGAAAAATAGCTCATCTATTCGTTTTACTGAACTAAAAATCAATTCGTTGTTATATAATTAAATATTGTTACTCGTAGAATATACTGGCACTACTTGGCGGAAGAAATTTAGGACATCCTGTATAATTTAGTAATGTTATTATGTACAACAATATTGAGTATAATTTTTATTGTTATAATTAATTGCATCAATTGCGTGTCCATTTGAATATAAAGCCATAGTTTCGTGATTGCGAGAGACAACACACTTTTCTGTCCTTAGTTATATTTCGTCATGCTCAAGTCGCATCGTTTTTGCACTAGTTTGAAGCGAGCTGGTAATATCGCTTCGGTGCGCACGGTCCATGAAATGATGTGTACGTTTTAAACTGGATCTAGATTTTATACACGTATACGCTTGCGTAAAGAAGTCTCGAGTTATACAAAGCGAAAATAAAATAGAATAAAAAGAAGAAAAAAAAATAAGGAAGTGCGTGTAAAGTATAAATGGGCGAGAAGAAATAGTAATATTATAACGTACTTAACAATTTTTGTTTCATGATGTGTTGTAGCGTAATACAAACGTGCACATACGTATTAATATATATATATAGATATATTATATACACAGAATTATATATTAGATATATCAATATACATATATGTTAAGACTCGTTTCCAGCTGGTCTGATCGGGTATTACTTTAACAATTTAATTAATTGCGTTAACCTGACAGCGATGCGATTGCGAGTAACACATTGAAAAAGATGCGTGCAATCACATAGTTCAATTGTATAGTGTATTTACTTGTCGTTTCGATAACAGATTCGATAATCTGTAGTCCATCGGCAATGAAAGTAAAATGGAGTACTGGTTGATACTTCTATTATTTGATTCAGAGAAATTATTATATGTGACATGATCGAAAAATTGATGCTAAATTATTATCATTTGTACATTAAACGATTATCAAGGGGATCGGCGTACAAAATCTTTATGTTAACTTTAATTTATCATATGTTTCATAAAGTATTGATATATGAAAAAATATAATCTTAATCAACTATTCTACCCGTTCATTCAAATGTTTAACCAAAAGACACACACAAACACTGGCACATGCAATTAAATGCGTGAGTAACGTACCAATTCACTAGTTAAATCAACATTATCATTTCCTGTTTGTTATATTTCCCTTTTTTTTTTTAACGTCATCAAGCAGAGAACTTTATACATATACATACTCGAGTAAACAGTGATACATTCTTTTACAGTATAACATCACTGCCGGATTAAGTAGTGGTGTGACCATCTTTTCAATAAATGTATCTAATTTAACATTGAACGGATTTGAGTACAAAAGTATTGTCTAAATCAGTTGATTTTTAATTGTCTATATAAATTTGTTACAATTTGTCATTTTTTAAATATCTTGTTCTTGAATATTCACTTGATGCTCTGGTACATTGCAGTGGTAAGTAATATTACTGCTACCATTATAACAACATTTACTTACCTCTTTATTTAATTAAAAGAAGTTTATATTAAATAATTTAAGTTTATGTTAAATAATACTGTACTATGGATGGATAGTATAATAAAAATTAACATATGCTAAATGAATATACACATTGTATTGATCTTGAAATTCTAAGCCTTGAACGACATAAGATTTCCTTGAACCCTATTTCTTAGTATATGTACATATTTGTTTTAAAAATAATTTTTGAGGGTATATTAAAATTTGGATATATTATACAAGTACTTTGTTTGTAAAGGAAATAGCAAATATTTATTTGTAAAATAAAATAATATTGAGAAATAATGTACTAACATGAAACTAATTTTAATCTGAGTTTATTATGTCTTTGATTAATAGATTATATCAAGTATGAACAGAATTTTCTATTAATGAAAATATGACTTTTATTTATAAAAGTTTTTATATTTCTAAATTTTGTTGTATAACATAATTCTCTTTTTCTTGTTCTATATTTTATTTTTTTTATTTTTGATGACTTTTTTTATGATATTTGTAACATTTATTGTAAAAATATTTAACATTATACATATTTATTATATCTGTCAACTATACACATAAATGTTAAAGCTTTCAATACAGACCAACCTATCTGTTCTTTTTCATCTGTAAACATTTTATTGTATTTCCTTTTCAATTTCTCATCTACATTTACACGCTGTAATATTTCATCATCTACATCAGTATCACTTAGTATTTTCTTCATAATATAGTCTGTACTTACTGCTTCAGAACCAATTGTAAGATGGAAATAGCGCGCTGAAGCGAAAGATTTTAATAAGTATAATCTATTTTTTGATGAATTATTCGTTCCTAAAAAATTTATATTACAGAAATCTTAGCAAATGTGAAACATTATTTATTCCTAATACATTATTAATAATACAATATAAATATACCTTGATTTGTTATCAATTTAAGACAGCTTGCAATACCAGTATTTATCTGGTTTTGTATTAATAAATTACTTGATTTATTTTTTATCATTTTAATTTCTTCCATTACATAACAATTACATACTGGTAATTGTTGAGTAACAGATGCAATCTAAATAAAAAGCAATTGTTAAATAAAATATTAAATTTTTTATTTAAAAATATCACATTTAAGACATTTACCAAGTTGATTGTATCATAAGTTGTAATGTTTGAAGTTTCATTCCGCCAAACTCTGCTATCCCAATCTAATATCTTAAAATCACAATTTACAACTGTCCAATTTATTGCAGAAGGACCTACATGTATAGCCAATGTTGTTGCTGGCATCTGAAACTATTTATTTTTTTTAACTAATATTATTCCATTATTAGAAATAATGTAAATATGTATGACTGTTTTTTTACTATTCTTTTGTTAGGTGTTATATATTTGCTCCATATATGCGTAGGGATTTCATTACTGATCGTTTGATAAAATTTAGCTAAAACATCATTATTTATTTCAGTCCTTAATGATAAATCATTTAATGATTTATAAAGTCCATCCTTCTTACGGATTGATATTATTGTTTTAGCATGTGATGCTTCTATGAATCTATATTAAAATGAACAAGTTAAATAGATTAGATTTAATGTACCCATTTACATAATAATATTAATTATATACTTACTGTGATAATTGTTTCAAACCACTTGTATTTATTAATTGTAAAATTGAGCTTTTGGATTTTGAAAATTTTACATTTTCACTATTGCTTTCTGTCGTTATAGAGCATATTTTTAATGGCTGAATCCATAAATTCTATAACAACAAATTATGGAAATTATATAATAAATTATGTTCTCTTATATTAATAAATGATAACTTATTTTAAAAAAATAAAAAAAGGTTAATTAGTTACATGATATCTACCTTCTTTATTTTAAATGTATAAGTTAATTTATATAAGGTTCTTAACATTGCTAGTTCTTGCTTAGTTTTTGTACTATATTCATATTTACAACTTTTAAAATATATACCTTCATCTAAGAATTTATAATTTGAAATTGATACATTTTATTTCCATTGTATATATTGTATTTCATATCACAGAGAAAATATTAAAATTACTGCATGTTACATATTAATAATGAAATATTTTATCCATGTAGGAAATATCATATCTCAATTTATTATATTTAAATAAATATAAACATTATCCTTAACCCTTTACTAGAAATCTTAAATCACAAGATAATGTCAAGATTATTGAAATGTTTTTCTATTACACATTATTTTATTGTATTATTTTAATATTTCATTTTATTTTTTAGTTTATCATAACTAAATTTGTGTGTAAATATATAAATTAATGACAATAAAAAATACAATCTTTCAAATTATTTTATATATCTTTAATAGGCGAGTTTTAAATGAACTACTACATCGTATTATATACACTACTCAAGTTACCGATCTTATGTTTTATGCATCTATGGCTAACGACGAAATTCAAAATGTTTATGTTGTTTCGAATATTAAAAGTATTTTCGTATAATTTTTATTCGAGTAGTTTCTGAACGTAAAATTGAATTTTACCTGGATCAAAATGCCAGGTAACTCTCTAGGACGTAGATCATCTACAAATCCCGTAAGAATATGTTTGTCTGATAGAGAAGACAAAAGTTTGTTACGAACAGAATCCAGAAGAACGCAAACATTAAAATCCAGGATTTCCTCAAACGAATGTTCTCACATACCAAGACCTCGAATGAGAGCTTCTTCATGTGATAGAATAAGTATCAAAGGATTAAAATCAACAGGTAAATATTTAAAATGTATTTAAAGTGTATTTAAAATGTGTTTAAAGTGTAATAAATATTTCATGTTTGATTATTACTGTTTCCTGTTTTGTTATTTATAGTTTATTACTATTTATTACTGTTTTCTCATAGGTAAAACTTCAATTTGTCATGCTCCAACAACTCCAAAAACACCATTGACAAATTCTAGTAAACCAAGTCTTATAATAGGAAGTTCAAATAAAATTCATACAGGACATTCCAAAGGACGTAGATCTTTATCAGCTGACAATGCTAGCAATATAGCTGTTAAAGGTTCGAGAAAAGATACAAGACCATTAACAGACAAAGCATATCAGACTTATATGCTTAATAAAATTGATAACTTTTTGGCAATAAATCAGTGTTCTTCTATGCTTAATAGCAATGGAAGTTTAAAACCTGTTACTTTAAAAATGTTTGTTGAAATCTCAGCATATTTAGTAAAAATGTTGGATATTAAACAAATTTTTACAATCACAAATTATGTAGAGGAACTGCCAAAAGTTGCAAAAAAACTCCACTATCCAGGAATTGTTAATAAATCATGGTTAAAAACAGCTAATGCTATGCATTCTTGGCCTAATGTTTTAGGCTGGTTATGTTGGCTAGTAGAAATTTGTGAGATCAGAGAACTGGCTTTTGAAAAGTATAATTTAGATAATTTACCATTTGTGGGGAATCAAGTAGAAGCTAAAATTAATAAAAATGCTTTTTTCTCAATGTTAAATTTTTATAACGCATGGAATGATGAGAAACTGGATGAAGAAGCATTAATGGTTGAAAAATATTTACAAGAAATTGAAGAACAACAAGGTGTAAATGAAGAAAACTTAAAAATTGCACGTACTGAATTAGAAGAAAAATTGCTTAAATTGAAAGCAGCTAAAGAAGATTCAAATAAAATAGATGAAGAAATAAAACATCTACAAGAAGTATTTTTATCTTTACAAAATGATGAAGAAAAGCAATTGAGTGATATCAATGCAAAAGAGGAATATATAAAAACAATTAATTTTGAAACAGATCAAATAAAAGCAGAATGCAATATATTGTATGAACAAATTTGTTTACAAAACACACAGCATGATGAATTACTTTCTATCATTAAACAACAACCAATGTCCAAGATAGAAAGAGATAAAATTTTAGAAAAATGTACAGAAATTCAGAACTATATGCATCAATTTGATGAACATTTACAAGAGATACAAAAAGAACTATACACTATGGATATTAAATTAGCATCTATTAATAATAATTTAACTAAGGCAATTTTAACATATAATACAGAAATATTTATGCATCTTAGTGGTGATATTGGTGTGAATTTAGAAGAGTTGAAAATGCCAGAAAAAGGTATATTGCAACCTGAAATTATGGAAGTACTAATTACAAAAGCTAATTTAATGAATGATTTAAAAGAATTATTGAAGTCACAAATTATTAAAAAAGAACATTTGTTAGAATCAAATTCCAATGAACTAGAGAATCTTCAGGAGAGAATAAAAATTCTAGAATATGAAAGTAGTGATATTGCCAATAAAATTAAGGAGAAGAAAAACTTGATGAGCAAAATTAAAACTGATGCTAAACACGAAGAAGCAAAACTAAAAGAACAAATAAAAAATCTGCAGAATGATATTAAAGAAATTCAAGATTTAATGCCAAATATTCAACAACTTGCTGCAGAGTTAAATGAAGCAATAGATAAATTGAATGCAGTTCAGAGAAGAAAAATGTATATAGAGGAATCGGCTAAGCTATTTTTTAATAAGTTTTATGAAATTTTAGGTGAACATAGGAATAAACTTCACAGTATATTAATAAACTCTAATAAATAATATAGTTATGTAATTTTTATGTAATTAATAATCTTGCAATATTTTAAATCTGATTTTTATATAATTTTATTATGAAATAAATATATGTATTATTACAATTAGTTATCAAATACATATATTGTCATATATTTTATAAAACTAAGGAAGTACACAAAATTAATTTAATATATTCAAAACTTTTGTATACTGACTTATACCAAGTTGTTACACTACTATTTTATATGACTGTAAAAATAAAAATTCATATAATTACTAATTTTATATTTGATTTAAATTTTAAAAAAATATGTAAGTATTTACATGTATACAGAAGTAGAAAAGGTATGGTAAATTATCAGGACAATATGCTTATTTGAATCGTAACACGGAAACAGGAAATCCTCAAATTGTTTCGAAACGCGTATTTGTATGATTTTAATTACTTTTATATGCAAAGCGCAAAAATAAAGAAAAATTGTAATTTCAAATTCGAAGTTGATATAAAGTATACAATATTTACTGAACTATATAAAAAATAATCTTAAAACTAAGGAAAATATATAGATATTTTTATTACATTTTTCCATGTAATATTACTGTAAAATGATTGTTCAAAATTATTCAATCCTACAAGATAGTGTATATAGTGTAACCGCCAGGACAAGTATGCTGGCAAATATTACAATATATTATGGTACGTTATGCGATGTATAATAAGAATGAATCCATTACAATATTAGGTTAGATGAATTATGTCCATAGTAATTGGAAATGAGTTGGTACATTTAAGTACTTGTTTAATATAATTAGAAAAACACATATTTTTCTACCATTTTAGAATAATGAGCAACAAAACAAACTCTGCCAAGAAAATTGTTTCTACTCGAAGTAACAAAAATACAGTGGAAACTAACCACCATTTGGTAATTTATAATTTGAATATTTTTATAGTTACAGGTATTCTTATCGTTAAATTTTAATTATGTAATGCATTTGCAGCCAGATACAGAAATAATTGTGAAAATTAAACGTCCATCAACCATGGTTAGCAGCATTCCAACTAGTCATAAAAGTATAGAAGAGAAAAAAAGACCTAGCAATAGTGATACTTATCAAAATTGGAGTAGGCTTTTCAGAGAACAAAATAAAGCTGTTATAAAACCAACTGTGAGCTTATCAGGTTCAAAATCATCAAAACATGATAGTGAAACTAAAGAAACTAAGAAACATTTTTCGAATCATCAGAAACTAGATGTTAGTATTAATTCTTATATTCATATTCATATAATCTGCACAAGCAATTCAAAAATTAACTTTCTTCTGTAGCACAAATTTTTAGATGAAATTCCAGTCAAACAAACTTCTCAGAAAAGAGTAGAGGAACATGTAAAATCCACGCCACATACTACAAATCCATCAACTATATCAATACCAAGTACTGTGGAATCTGTTGTAGTTTATGATAAAGGAATACAATGTGATGGAATATATGATTACTCTGATGACAAATTTGGCGTATTCAATCCAGTTCGTACATTAAATTTTTTAATAAAGGAGTTAGTACACTTAGTTAAGGATGATAAAGCTAATGAAATTCTTGCTAATATGGAGCAAGCATTAGTTAGAATATCAATGGAACCCAATAGATCCCCTATTGTGGTATGTTTATTAAAAATAAAAAAGTAATGATGCTGACAATTTTGTGTATTAAAATGGAATTGTTTGTAGCAGGATTTAGAAGCTAAATTAGAAAGAACTAAACAAATAAACTCGATTTATGAAACAATACGCGAGGAAAGAGATTCTTTACTACGGTATGTTTGTTATTTTATATATATATATACACAATATATATATATATATATATATATATATATATATATATATATATTGTAATCATCTTTATGTATTTATACAATATATTGTTAAAGCAGACAAGTTCATGAACAACGATTGTTATTAAGTAATGTTCAGGAAAGGCAATTAGATCTAGAAACGACTGAAAAAACACAAAAACAAGAATTAGAAAAGGCAATAAAAACTATTCAAGCCAGAGATAAAACAATAACTGAATTAACAGAAAAGATGAATGGTTATGAATCTTCTCAAAAAATTGTAGCAGAGTTAAGAATGAATTTAGCTGAACAAACAGAACATGTAAGACGATTGAATTCAGAGATGCAACATTTAAGACTTGAAAAAGAGAAACTTTCAGTTTTATCATCATACAAAGATTCATTATTAACCGAACACCGTAATACAATCAAGTTAGTTGAATCATTATTTAATTTCAATCTAATTTAATGACATTATAAAGTAATTACATTTATACTTTATATATCGTAGGGAGTTACAATGCGTGGCAGACCAATTAAGTAATTTAAAAGATATTCGTGAAGAAAGTTTAAATCCACAAATGTCATTTGTACATGAACAACGTCTATGTTCATCACGTACTTCTACCTCTTCACATGATTCCAATATACATACCTCTTGGCACGATGTGCCTGATATTTCTTTATCCACGGTGGATCATGATGCGTCCAAACTTAAAAATGTGCAGGATTTCTTGCATAAATCAAATAAAATACCAGTGTTTTCAAAAATCCAAGACGAAAATTTGGGAAACAAACAAATAAAAAATATTAAGGAGTCTTCAACTAAAGATTTAGAGTTCATTAGCTTACCTGCTGGAGAATCTTCACTTACCCTTTTACCTTCGTATAAGGATTTGGGTTGCACAGAAATTAATAAATCTGGTAAGTACATTCAATGTATGTATTATTTATATCATAGCATATTACAAATCTAATATCTTTTTTTTCAGTTGATCAAGAGAAAGATGATGCACTAATGTTTAGTAATAAAAGAACCGATAATTTACACAATTTTAAAGATACGAATAAAATATCATCAGAACATTTAAATTTATCCATTGAAAAGAACACTATAAAAGAATTAGCTAGAATGACGAAGTCTGTAGAATCAGATAAAAAACAAAGTTTGCCTGATAATATAATAGACTGTAACATAACAGAACAATTTCAGAATATTGTCCAAGATATAAGAATGCAAAGTCGGATTCCAGTCAATGTACCAAGTCCACTGAGGAGTTATCCTCATCCTGAATGGAGCGATAGTACTTTACCTAGTATCAGTACTGCTTCAGACTCAGAATATAGAGAAATGTGATATAATTCAATAATGTTTAAATTTATATTAAATATTTTGAGACAAAATTTGTCCAAGTAAATTATTTTTTATCCAAGAAATTGATTTTAAAAAATTAAAATTGATATTATTTGGTATTCAAAAAATAATATCAAAAAAAGACTTTAAATACTAGTTGTACAATATTGATTGGAGCTTCAAGGAGCATATAATTTGGAAGAACATAATATGTTGGAATATAATGTGTAGGAAAGTGGATGTCATTGAAGAATAGTTGAAAATACAACGAATAGTTTTAATAAATAAAAAAAGATATTCACTTGTAATAAACAATATGTGTGTTATTCTTCATATTTCCACTTTGCTTAATACAAAAAAAAAAAAAATTGCAAGGACGTAATATAAATATGACATGAAAAACCAGGTGTATATATATATATATTTTTTATCACATATGTATATATACAAGTAAAGTATAATACTCATATTTTGTAAGTCTTAATAGGATTAAAAGGGAACATTTTAGTACACGTAAAACATTCATCAATTTTGCACAAAGACGTCTTTAAGTACATATACATGTTTCCCATTAAGCGTGTATATGTGTACTCTTTCTTTACGAAAAATTCGATCTCTTTTTTTTTTTATGATTATTTTCTTTTATAGGGACCGAGAAACGTTCATTTGCTAACAACTATCGTAATACGAACACAGTCCTAACATTCGATGCGTGTAAAATAAGTTTAATGTTATCTTCGAGACGAAAAAGACTGTCTTCGCATTTGAACGACTTCGATGAAGATTGTGATAAAATGTGAAATATTAAAAATGTTTATTTATACGCGTCTAATATTACGAAGGAACTTTCTTCAATCAAATTTCAGAAACGGAATTTTATCTTATATTTTTGTTTTTTCTTTTTTTCGTTTAAAATTATGAAAAATTACAAATCTGAGATTTTACAATTTGCAATAATATTCTCGCGCAATTTTCCCATTCTCCTACCAGATTCAAAATACACTGAATTTGAAAACGCTGCAAGACATTTGCGCATTCGAAGAAAATTCCTTCGTATTTACGCGATATTGAAAGATTAAAGTTCCCTTCGGATACGTATACTTTCACGTACAGGTCAGTACGGTTGTCCTTACGACATATTCGAGATATTTTTAAAAACATAAACTATTCCTTAATGCTTTTTCAATGGTCTTCGTAATTAACCTTAGAAACAGTACTTTAAACTCATAATACAAAAATTCTTATCCTAAGAAGAATATAATCGAAGATTGACATTAGTAACAACTCTCGAATGAAACTTGCGCGAAAATTCAAGACACCTGATTAATATCTTGAATAATATTTTTTACAGTGAGAGGGAAGTGCATAGAATCCACCATGGTTGTCGTAATTTTTGTCGACGTACATAAATACTTAGGTTCGTATATATTTCATTATTTGTCGTACGAAATTACCAATATCTCGGTAATAATCTACGATACATCACGAATCACAAATATTTCGTTATTTTTACGTACTGATATCGTAATGACTCTGAGGTATTACGTACATTCGTAATTTAAGAAAAATCTGCATTCTTCGAACGATCATTCTCGGGAAATATATTTTCAAATCTTATTCGATATTATAAACGAAATTTTTGTTAATTCCACTTTGTAATCGATAATCCCTGTAGGAGATCATGAAATTAAGTAATCGACACCGATTGCCAATTAAACGAGCATTGCGACAATTTCTTCAAAGAGATTGTAAAAAAAAAAAAACACGAAGAGAGTGAAGAACCGTTTGAATTTGGCGCTTTCCTAATTGGCTATCGGCGCTATTACCTTGAAGGTTGTCACACGTGCTGTTCGATATTCAAACGGTCGAATAGTTTCGCGCTTTTAAAATAACAGCATTTTTAAATGTTCAGTTGGCAACAGACGATTGTTCGGTTATGTGTCGAAGTCGAATTGTGAACGAAAATGCATTTAATTAATATAAAAACGATTATTTGGTGTGAAATAGATTGTAATTAAAGTACCAAGTATGTACAAGAATGAATTAAGTATCAAGAAATATTAGATAAATACATGTGATCAAGTAATTCATGAAAGTTTCTTTTACAGGTGCAAAATTCGAATACGAAGAAAGAAACGAAGAATGTCACGCTATTTGCTAACCAGAGTTCGGGCATCGATCTATTTTGATTACAATCGTCAAAAAGGTGAGTGATGATAAAAGTATTTAACAATTGGATTGATTGCAATTAACAGCACATTGAGAACCTTCGCATATTACACGTATGTAAGTATGTGAGGTGTTTGATGTGTTATGTGTGTATGTATATATAATAATATATAGCTATCTTAAATACATATGTACATCCCTTTCTTTTTACGAAGTTAATGAATCAATGTATGAGATTCGTATCTTGTTACCGATTGGTTCTTCGCTTTTTGATTTTCATTGAAAATTACAAGAATTATATACGAGAGCTGCGTATATTAGAACTAAAGTATATCGTGCAACAGATGGAGCATAAGACAGTAATATTTGGACAGATCGTTTTTTTTTTTTTTTTTTTTTTTGGGTTTTTTTGAGACCGCTGTATTTAGATCTTCTTGCCATTTCACTTAAACCAAAAACACGATAATCTTTCTCTTTTTACGACCAAACGAACGAACGACTGTAAAATGTTTATCGAAATATTGCGCACAGTAAAGATCACATAAATGTTCTTGTATATGTGTTTTGCATGTACACGCGCACGCGTACATGCGTGTGTGTATGTGTATTACGTGTGAAACGTCGACATTATACAATAATATCACTAGCGTAAACTGTCGTATTGTTTATAATTGCATATATTACAATAGACGATCGAGTCGAGTAGAAATCGTAAATCTTGTGAGTCGATTAAAATGAATTCCTATCCGACTTTGTCTCAATTAATCCTACTTAAATAGTCTCAACTATGAATATGCTCGAATATAGCTCAGATATCGGAAGTGATAGTGGGCTGTTGTAAAAATAAAAATTTAACATTTGTCATCTTGAGGTTGCGTATGGAAGGACATGTTTTATTGTTTATTGTACGTTATATACTGCTTTGTTCGGTGTAAAAATATAAAGCATTTCGATTACAAACTTCGTATGTATGTTGCCATTGTTACCGAGTAATCGGCAGTTATTATGATAATCTCTTTCTCGTATTTTCCTTGATGCAGGTTTACATTAAATGTGAAATTAAATTCAAACGTATGGGAGTAAATTTTAAAAATTAGAAACTTGAAAAAATGCAGAAAACTAGAAAGAGAAATAGACAAAAGACGTTTCTTATTTAACCTTTAAACCGAAGTTTAAGATAATGAATTCTTTGCTATATTCTATTCTCTATTAATAACACTATTCACTGCGCGGTGTGCAGTACGTAGTGTTATCAATATTCTTGTCAATTCTTTTAATCTTCAGTTTAAAGGTTCCACCTGTCTCTTTCTTTTTGTTAAATAGTTCTAAAAACAAAATAGTACTGTTAAACGTTCTGGAACATCGTTCAAGGAAATTATACACAACTGACGGAAAGAAAAGCGAATGAAACAAGGTTTAATTAACATAGCATTGTGTGTGTAACACAAGAAATTAGCCGTTCAGTTAACGCGCAATAGTATCGGAAAGAAAATATCAAAACGAATTAACTGCTAAGCACAAAAGAGTAAATGAAGGGAACGGCGAGTCGATGCAAACCAGCTTCAAGAAACAGTCTCTAGCTCTCTCGTTCACCTAACAATGGCCCAGGCTATGGAGTTAATAATTGCTTTTACGTGGCAATGATAACAATATGCGTGTATAACAAATGTACTTAGAAACGGTTTCACTTGTGCTATTACTGCTCTCTGGCGATAAAAATCAGACATCATTGTTCAACTGCTGGCTCGTAACAAGGGCTTTGAGGGGGAGAGTTTGTTCTGCTCTTTGCTGCGAGTTTTAAACACTATACACTTCCTTGATTGTGCGCCCAAAACATGGCGTACGGACCCGCGAACAACGTGGACCGGTCACGGTCCGTCAGGCGCGCAACAAGACACGCATTCATCAACTATATTCACTATTCTTCTCTTTTTTTTCTCATCGTTTTTCTCTTTTTTTTTGTTTTGTTTGTTTTTGTATCTTTGTTATTTCGTTTTGTCCCTTTGTTTTCTAATCTGAAGAACGTTCGTGTTTCTTGTATTGTAAAATTAACGAACCTGTGGTCCTGTATATATACACTAGTGATTCCCACTTTTTTTTTTATTTTTTTTTTATTTCTTTAAAGTGCTCCTTTTTTTGTGTGTTGTTGCGTATACCAAGAGAGATCTGAGCAATATAGTATCGTGATTAACATCGACGTATAAATAAAGTTTTCTCTTTTAAATAAATTTCACCAAATATTCGTTCTTTTCTCGATAGACTTGGTCTCAGAAATTGTTCTCGATATTCGTATACCGGGTATCTCGAGGCAAATGTTACGCGAATTTTTCGATGAACCATGTGGAATTTGAAGAAGCAAAGAAGTACTTTCCCTTTCTCGTCAAGAACAGAAAAGGAATGTAATAAATCTTCGTAGAATATACGATCATAGAATAGCCGAAAATAGTTTCTTTGATATAACAGCATATACCTTGAAACACCCTGTATCTGTTGTATACATAATATATTTCTTTTAATTCGCTTTTCCTAGTAGCGAGATGGACACATTATAAATTTCGTTACAATTTCTTCTCCTCTCTCTCCTTTTCGTATTTCGATCGATGCATCCCAATACTTTATTGCTGTACAGTATAATATTTATAGAAATACTTTTTTCGTGCATCCTAAACTCGATTAAATCGTATCGAAACCGTGAAGACTCAGCCGCGACCCACAGACTCGAGATCCAAGAATCGATGAAAAGCTCAAGAAACAACGAAGAAAGAAAGTGAAAAAAGTCGTCGTGCGTTTGAAAGTCTCGCGGAATGGACGGCCAAACGAAAATTAGCATGTCCCGTGTCTCCTATTCGTGTTTGATACGTCTGGAAACAAGCGTACCCTAGTACATTGTAGTAAATAGCAAAATTTCAGACAATAAAAATCGCCGCTAATCTTCGTTCTAGCAATCCACCCTTAACGATAATCAGTCGATGTGTTTCTTCTTTCTTCTTCTTCTTCTCCTCATATTTTTTTCTTTTTTTGTTCTTTTTTATTTAAAACGCGCGCTCGCCCGTTCATTTCTTTTTGTTCATTTTTTTTTCTTGTTTGTTTGTTTTGCCTTACCGTACTAGAATTACAATAACGTTTTGATTAAATGACACGTGTCGTAACGCGTGCAATCTCACGAGGGAAACCGTCTTAATTTATCGAAAAAGGATGATGAACATTGTTTGTCGCGTGGAAAAGTCGAACAATCCTCGTTCAAGATAGATTTCAGGCCAGCACAGAAACAGCTCTCGGTTTATTGTACGTAGCTTCGATCGTTCTTTTCTTTCTTTTTTTCTTTTTTTTTCAGTACAGGCTAACTCGAAAAACGACGTGAAACGTAATCTTTGAAATCCGTTTTCGCGAAGCTGAAAACGCGAGAGAGAAAGACCTTGATAAAGTAATTGTCAGTCATTTAAAATCTTCATAGATTATATTTGTTAGCTCTGACTATCTGTTCAATGTATAATTAAATATGCCTATGGTATCTCTCTATGGTCTATGTATTAACGTTGATCGATCTCTTCGATTTTAAGCCCCGGAGTGATTCCACTTGAAAACTTCGAGTGAGCATCTTACAAATCAACCTGTAGAAAATCGAACGTTGCTGTTCTCAGGCAAAGCCTCTGAACTATTGTTGGTCGTTTAAGAGCAATATCGAATGATCTGCGTTGGAAATGATTAGTTGGTGTGAGTGTTCGGACGTGCCAACGATGGCCTGGCTGATCAAGTTGGTCACTCGGTATATCTGTATACACTGTATCGATATAATTCAACGTATCAAAAATATGCTGAAAATCTTTGAAATCAGGTGTGATATAATTAGTTACACGGCGTTTAGCCGGAGCAACGGTTTATTCTAATAAAAAATGGAAGCGTGTATGTGCAACGAAACCGTTTCCGTCTCGCTCGAAAATCTTCTCTTCTCTTTCGGGATTGTCACTTTCTCGCGTTTGTCTTATCGATACATTGTCGGAACGAGTTTGAAAACAGTCATTAAAATTGTAGATATTATTCATATTCTCTCTCTCTCTCTCTCTCTCTCTCTCTCTCTCTCTCACTATCTTTCTCTCTGCCACTCTTTCTTTCTTTCATTCTACCTTTCTCACTTGTTTTTCTTCTCTTTCCCTGTCTCTCCCTCTCTTCCTTTCTATAAGTCACACTGAATTACGTATTCTTCGGTAGAGCGTGGAAGATGCTTGCAAAGTTCGGAGCGCCTGCGCGATATTATCCTATGTACAACGCTAGCAATCGCTGTGTGTAACAAAACTTGAACAGAAAAGCGTTCACCACGATCATTCTATCTCTCTCTTTATTTTTTTTTTATTTCCATTCGCGTTTCAATTGTGTTTCGCTACGGCGACCCTTATATAGTAATACGTATATTTGATTTACTGTCTTTGTTTCTCCCTCTTCTTCTTTTGCTCTTCGCTTCGTTTTACATCTTTCTTTTCTTTTTCTTTTTTTTTCTTTTTTTCGTTTTCCTGCGTGCATTCCGCCTCTGCATCGTCATTATAACACCGACGATCATTTATTTCTTTCGCCTTATAAAAATTGGACCTGGTTTTTTTTTTTTTCTTTTTCTACTACAATTCGCTAATTCCCGCGGTATTTGGCCGCTGGATTTTTCGAAACGATCTTACGATTCTCCCATTTCCCGCCGTAAGATCTCATGGCACCGCACAGTACATGCTAC